AAAGTGAAGTTCATGCTATGTTAGGACAGGAGACAAGATGTTTCCATCCCTAAAATTATGATGCATAGAATCACATATCTGAATAAACCATGGTGCAAAGAGTAAACAATACGATAGGTACACTTAATGATATTGTATTAGTGATTAGGCAATACATTCAGCAAGTACTTTTACTTTTAATGCTGAAGTATTTTTAAAAGACAGTACTTTTTTACTTTTACTTAAGTACAAACATTAATGAGGTACTTTTACTTTTACTTGAGTACATTTTTGTCTGTGTATTTGTGCTTTTACTAGTCATTTTTGAGTACTTTCTCCACCACTGGGAATAAGAATTACTGAAGAATCACTTGAAGAGTGATAACTAAGAAATAAACGCAACTGGAAACACAACATGGGACTGACATCAAAGAATGAGAGATCTAACCAAAATATGTAACATTAAATAATGAAACTAGCATAATCATGAAGGCTAGATCTACAGTGAGCTAGAACATAATTGGTTAAACAAAAAAACACAAAACCAAAATCCTAACCCAAGAACCCAGAATCTTGACAGTGGGTCCATTTTCTCTCAGTACAGGGTCTGGTACAGGACCAGCATGCATTGGGTTTTCACCAGAGCAGGAGAGGAAACTATGAAAAATTTGATCTTTGTTATTTGCTAGCCAAGCTGAAAAAAGAACATAAAAACAATTTTCAGGTTTTTTGGACATTAAACTTCTTTTACCTGCGTATGAAGCATCACCTCAGTGCAGCGGTGGTTTGTTGATTTGACTTTTATAGGATATTTGGTTTGACAAATATTCGCCACTACAATTTATTTATTAAAAATTATTACATTTTGCAGCTACTTACACCGCAATTATTGTTTTATGCCGCTTGCTTTACTGGCCTTGCGCTGCATTGTTCACATTTCTCCTGTTTACGAAAGTAAAACTCGGTAATTAAAGGAGGAGAGCCGTAAAAAAGGTCACTGGTTCCATTTTCTCTTCAATAAATAAGCCATTCTCACAGCGTAGTTGTGATGTTCGCGTTCATTTATCTGATATCAAAACATTTATACAGGAGGGGAACAGTTACTAAAATGATCATCATACAGAAAACTTCTATATTTAGACCTTAACCTTCATCCAAACGCTGCTGTTTCCTACCTATTCGGTGTAAAATTATCCGGGGAATCCGGGAGAAATCCAGCAGTCTGCGCTTATCATCCATCTCTTCCTCCGACTTGACGATGATTCCTTTAAACTCTGTGAAAGTTCATTGTGCTCGTTGAGAAACTTTAGACAAACTGTCGAAAAATTCAGCAAAACAAACTATGCGCCATCTTGTTGTTCTTCCTCCTATTCTTCTTCTTTGGGATTTTATGACCGTCGGCATTCACATCGTTGCATTACCGCCCCCTTCTGGATAATACGAGCAAATCGTATTATTTGCTCGTATTATCCAGTAATATTTGCGTATTAATGGGTGAAACATCTTGCCCAAGGGCTCGACAACTGAGACGGATGGTGGGGCGTTCAGACTGGCAACCCGTCGTTTAGACCAGTGTTTTTCAACCTTTTTTGAGCCAAGGTACATTGTTGTAATTCAAAAAATCACGAGGCACACCACCAACCAAAAATGCAAACAAAGATACTCCGTAGACGCTTATATTACATATATAGTCATTTTAATCAAAGTGGCTTGAATAGGAATCAAATAAACAAAAAAAAATATTTTTTATCATATTTTACATTTCTTATTTCAAAATGCACGCAACATGTCCACTTCAAAAATACACCTGAACAGTTTCACAACAATGTGGTGTTAAATTTAAAGAAGTTGTAGAAAACTTCAATGTTTTACAAACTAATCCACAAGCATTCTTTTAGCCAAAATACAGAAAGTAGTTCTTATTCTAAAATAAGCAATAATATTTGGGAAAGATTTCACTTCATATTCACTGTTACAATATGAAGAGTTGCCTGTACAAAATATTTGTATA